GTGCCTGCTGCTGAAAGCTAAGCCCAAAACCAATGTCAACAATACAGATTCTGCACTATAGCACAGCAGCCAAAGTTACCTGTAAGTGTAGGAACAGTTAGCAATAACATTTCCTTTCTATAAGAGCTGAGGTCACACCACTGTGTCTGTGCAACTAGAAGACTTCTGACCCAGATTTTGTTTGGCCTTAGCTAGCATAACAAGAGAGGGAAAAGTCTCCATTATGAAAATGCCCCAAAAATATCCCAGCAAACAGAGATGAACTAGTATTTTAAGAGAACTCTGAGGGTGATCAGCCATGGGCCATGCCAAAACATTTCACACATTTCAGGTCTCACAATATTGCAGGAAAGATGGACACAAAAAAAAAAAAAAAAGTTACTTTTTTTAAAAAGCAACTTCTAGAAAATCCCGTAATGTACGTGAGGAGCAAACATCGCCTGTATTCCAGCACCTGCTGATACTGTAGATTTGCAATAGAAATAACATGGTTATTTGGAATAATGCCTTTGAAGACTAAAAGCCCTAACAGCTTCGCAGAAAACATAACGCTTTTCTGAAAACCAAAATGTGCCAATTCTTAACCTTTGTAACATCAGCATAGAAGGAAAAAATACGATAGTAACTATAAATTAATGCCAATGATACATATATTTTTGCAGAGATTCTATGAATCTTAGGCTCTATAAGTGTATCTTATTTTGTACTTTTGCATAAACTGCACTGATATAAGTTATATTTTTAAAGGCACAGCTATTAACCTTTCCTGTCCATATATAATTAACTACAATTACCAGCTTTAGAAATAATCATTTAATTAAATATGTGCAGACACAATTTGAAGGCAAAACCAAAGACTCAAAATACCAAAGCATTTAAATTATGTTTTTCCAGTTAAAACACAAAGTTTACTCTTCACCTATTCCACTGACATGCTGAAGTAACAAAATCTTTCATTCTTTGAGGGCAATCATTTTTATTCAATATGAAAGAGATCTGTGGATCTTTAAGCTTTTTCATACTGAAGGAAAAAAACAAAACAAAACGGGTCTTCTGGCGTCAGAACTTCCAGGATTAAACATTCTTCCCAGTCGTTGGCTCATGGCCTGAAGATCCCACACTTTCAAACTTATCCCATTCTAGCTAGTTCAAAGATCAGGAAAATGAAGCCATCTTCTTTGCAGCCATAATCCATGACCCATGCTGTTTGATACTTAAGAACATCTCAAAAGCAAACTACCTTGTTTCAGCTGCCAGCGGGAGCTCAGCAGGGCACTCGATCACATGACTGCAAACCCTGCCTAGTCAGGTGACTCAGCAGCTAATCTGATTTGGGGACTATAAAACTTTAAGCAGTGCAGTCTAATACCATCACATTCCAGAACTGATGAGAGAAGCAGCATGGCGATGTAACACCAAATGCTAATAAGATTATGAATTAGAACTGCCATTAGGATGCAGTTTTCTAGTTGTCTATCCCATACGTAAACCCAACAGAAAAAGACTACTGAAAATGATCAGGCAGACATATGGTTCTGAAACAATATGTGCACTGGTCTGTTTTATTCCAAAACAGATAGCATTTTGCTCATTGCCATGGAAGGACAGAGCATACACTGAATGTTACAAGGCACAATTAAAACATAACAAAAACGTTAATTTGAAATTCAAGAAAATAAAATGTACATTGATAACATTGTCTTGTTAAGAAACACTTCTCACACAACACAGCCTCAGCTTGTGCTGGGTCCTAAGAGTTCACATGTGCAACACAGGTAGGATGCACATGGTAAACACTGAGAGGCAACAACAGCCATGACATGTTTCTTGTATTAAATAGTTAACATTTTTTTAAATTAGATATTTGAAAAATAGCTTGTTTCAACCTGCTTTCTAAATCAGTAGGACTTTAATTGTACCCACATCTTAATATGTGACAGAGGAAAAATGAAAATCACAAACAGAACTACTTCAATACTTTTTAACATTCAGCTCTTCTACTGAAAAACTATTTCTGTTTCTCCATATTTTTCTTAATATCCGATACAGCCTCTCCTGGTGTAAGTTACAATGTCAACTTTCTTAATATCCGATACAGCCTCTCCTGGTGTAAGTTACAATGTCAACTCTCAAAATCAGTAACAAAAATATCCCTTTATTTAAAAATAGATTAAATTATAAAATAGGTGCGAGGTTCACAGTGAGCAAGAGGTGGAAGGTTCAAGTACCCCCTCTCCACTGCGTGTCTATGCACTTTTCCTTATTGCATCAGCTCTGCAGTGTGACACAAATTTAAACTATTAATAAAGTCAATAGATAGTGAGGTCAGATTAGTGAGCTGAGTCAGCTCAAGAAAGGATCTGACAAGTACCAGGGTTTGTTGGACTGGAAGAGGAAAAGGAAATGAGACTTCCTCTTTTAGCAACACTGAGCTACTCTCAGCTCAGAAGACATTGAGATACCCAGTCAACTTGCACTTTATGCAAGAAATTCTAAAAAAGGGAGGACCACAGCAGCAGTATTCCCCATTACAAAATACTTTCATTATGTGGGCTCCAAAATGAAAAAGAAATATTTAGCATCTAGCTTTAATTGCCCTGTAGGAAAATGAGGTAAGAAAAAGGAAAAAGTATAAAACACACCTGTCAGAGTAGTAAGGAAAAGTTAGAAGTACAAAAGAGAGGGCTCAGCCCTGGACATATGCTTACACCTATTCTGTGAAGTTAAGGCAACCTATGTTATTACTTAACAAACAAGCAAATATTTGTCTCACTGAAGTAATATTTAAAAGAAGCATACTGTGTGGAATGGGAAAAAAAGTAAACACTGAGACAAGGTGAATGGAGTTCATAATTTGATTATTTTTCTGATAGGCAAGTGGTGACTTCTCAAAGATTTCTTCAAGAGGCTACATGTATCCATCTCTAATGGATATACTGCAATTTTTCATAGTTACACATATCTGGAAGCAGTCAGATCTGAAATATATAAGTATCTGGACTGCAGAATGACAGTACAGTAAGAAATGGAGCTGATGGGATGTTTTAAAAGTGGAGAACTCAAAGTTTCAGCCTCCTCACTCAATTACTCAAACTTACACCATATCATCCCACCAACAGATTCCTGAACTCTTCTAAAAGAATTGTGAATTACACTTTATGCCTTTATTTTGTTAGTGTCTTATTCCAGCTGTTCACAAAACATTAGTCAGGTCCTACAGAGTGACATTTAACAGGTATATTTATTTCTTCCCATGTTTTTAAATTCATCCTTTGATTTCTCCTCTGAAGACAAAACACTTCTTTCACTGAACAATAATATACATTCAAAATTAATTAGTTATTATTTAATATTTCACTGTTTGGCAGCAAATATAAAACATCATGACAACCTCTTGATACTCATTACAAAGATCTTAAACTGTCTACTGTTTAAGATGTAAAAGCTTGGCCAGCAGGAAAATTAATGCAGTTTCATCAGCTAGGAAAACACTGAAACTTGATGCTCCTGAGTCTGAATGTATTAGGAATGAAAAACTTTTGAGGTTTTATTATTTAATAAATATTTAATTTGAGAATTATTAACATATTGTTACTCTTTATTGCTGTTCATATTTAAGAGAAGGAATTTCCTCCTCAATTAAAAAAATAAAAATGGACTAAACAACCACTGGTATTGAAAAACCACAGCTTACAGCAGTAAGAAAAATCATTCCTTGAAATTAAAGACTCAGAGTGACAGATGATAACATCAGAGCCTCCTTAATACATCCTGCTATATGCAAATGTCTTCCAAGTAGCTTAGGATGCATCTGAAACATGAATCAATGAAAGACAAATACACGATAGTGGCTATTCTATATGCTCACAGGAATTTCAATTCACAGAACTAAAACAAAGTATTGGTTTACAAAGCAAGCAAACTGAAATTTTTCTTTAAGATAAAAAGCATTTTAATGTATTTGTTTATAACAGGAACAGAAAAGCAAACACGAAGTTCAGATGTCTCACCCATTTTTACATATGCTCAGTTTAAAGCAGCTGTTTGCTGACATGTACAAGGGCACAGACTACTATTAATAAACTGCTAACAGCAAGTTAAGGAAATGCTGATCTTCCAAAATACACAAAATCACTTTCCATGGTATTAGAAACTGATTCAACAATAGGTGCTAATGAAGCCCAGAAGTTACATTCCTCACATGAAGCAACTTTTTCAGCTGCAGCTCTTGGTTTATGGCGTAGTCCAGAGCCATCATATTGACATAAGATCTTGCTTCCAAGCGAGCGGTTTAAATTATACGTTTATTACAGGCCCGCGGCTACTCACAAACACGAGACGGACTCCAAGGATACTCACGCACTATGTCACACACAGTTCCGTTCATACGTAAGAGAACGTATTTTACAAAAGTGTTTCACAGATACTTTCTCCTTCCTATCCACGCCCAGGCGCGCACGCAAGAAACACGTTTTTCGAAGACGGGGCAGCACAGAAACTGACGCGGCAACTGAGGGGGCACAGGCCAGGCGAGCCTCTCTCTTCACGACTCGGCTTCAAACCTCCCTGACACCCCAGGCAGA